TTATTATTGCAGTATATAATCTGCTTACTCGTATTCTCAATAGCTGGTAACTACTTCAAAAAAGAAGTTATATTATATTTCGCTAATTGCGCCTTTTCAGCCAATTGCAGACTATTGACTTTATGCGTACCTATATAAAAATAGGGAGAAATATGTACATAAAGGTAGTGCTTTGAACTTTGAAGTCTTGAGACCACTGTAGTAAGTACTAATTATTTGATTTTTCTTTTTAGTTATCCTGTAACCAGTTAAACTATTATTAGATAACTTATAGTCTAAAAATTAACTACTTATTATAAATTTACTTTATGAGATACTATAAACAAGTGCTCCTGTTTTATTTCCGGACGCCACCTAAGAATCGTATAGGAAGTGTCCAGAACTCAGATTACCAATTGGAAAAGTAAGATATACTCGTTTACGTAAAATTGATTTCTACAATGGCAGAACCTTGGTGCATTAAGTAAAAGCTTATAAATGAAGACGTAAATGATTAGAAAACCAATTTTTAAGCTACCCTTCTTTGTAAAGATTTGTTGCTGAAACTTTGTGTCATCTGAAAGGAATTCTAATCCTTCATGAATTAGAAATCGGAAGACCTAAACTTTGTGCTTATTCCCTTTAAGACTGTGTTCTTCAACCGCACTCACGTTTATTGATATAGCGTCATCAAAAATATTGCATTCGGTGTCCACTTGTGTATATATTAAATATCAACCCTTTGATGAATTACCAACATGCATTTAGGGCGTTGCTGGGAAAGATAGCTTGGGGTAGTTGAATACAAAACTTTGCATATTACATATGGGGTTCCTCCGTATTGGCTCAGCAAGGGTTGCTATGCAGAAGGGTCGTGGTAGTATTGCATACGAATAACGCATACAATGCGAAGGTATATAAGTCTATTTTAATATAAAAAGTAAACTAAATAAAGCCATCCCATTTAAATCTATCTACCTCCTGTGAAAGTTAAACTTTCCTATTCAAAAGAATTTTCAATTTTAATAAAAGAGCTCAATTATCAATTGTTGGCTGTTAAATGAAGGTTTAACATGTCATACTACAAAGAAACTATAGTATTCGCGTTAAGTATGTAAACTGAGCAGTTTGTATTCTCATCCTTTATCGGCAAGTTTTGACATAGAGTTTCGTCTTAATTCGTAATAATAATATGTCAAAATTCTATGTATAAGTACATCAACTAGGGGCAAGGCATGGATAGTCTAACAGATGTCTTCGTCGTCAGCCTTTAAGAGATCACTGCTGAGCAAGTCTCTTATCTCTCACATGGATGGTTTGATTATTCACCAAGCTTGCTCAAAAGGCTGATTTAAAATTAATAATTAGAAATTATAAATGCAAGGTTCCTTATGGCGGCTGCGGGGTAAGCGCAATGAGGCACCGCGACCTCGGCCCAGAGCAGGAGAAGGAACGGGGGGGTTTTTAGTCAGTAAGAGTCTGACACTCTCTCTCGCCTTACCCTGGGCGGGAGAAGTCATTGGATATGATTTTCCCCTGACAAAAAAAAAAAAAAAAAAAAAAAGGTTCCTTATGGCGGCGCGGCCAGAGAGACTCAGGACTCAGCGAAAGGAAACACCAGCTTTAAGGACCTCCCGGGGGATATGACGTTGTGCTCTTGTTGGGCTAGGCACAGGCTTGGATTTGGTTCATACTAAAAGGATACTAAAAAAAATTGGTTTGTTCCTAACTATGTTTTGCTGTACTGTATGTCGGTGGTGTCTAAATAATAGGTGATTTTACAGGGCAAAGGTAAAGGTAAAACGTATGCATGACACATATTAGGGTAATTTAACTGATCGTAAAAACCTTCATTCATCTTAGTCTCTTCGATAAAACAAATGAAATTAAGAAGAAAAAAACATGCTTAGAAACCTCTAACAGAAAATTAACCAATTAAAACATACAACGACATTAAGGAACCATGGAGCACGCTTGTGAAACTGTGGTGGAGGTAGTACCCAGTAAGTAGGTAATACCTACTAATGAATTTATGTTACTTGGACTTGAACCGCCTTGTTACGAGCATTTTGTCTGTCGAAAGAGCTTGCATAACGTCACTGCCCAAAAGTGGATGTACTTGTACAAAGTAAATATCGGGAAAACCATACTGGCTTACTACGGATATACCTATTTAATGTGGATAATCGTAACTTCGATCCTTAATACGTTTATGTAGGTACTTAATAAGTTTATGTACGTACTTATTACTAGGTAGGTAGATAATATTATAGTCAGGTAAGTACTATATTACTTTTATTTCCGATTCATTAATTATTTTCGGTGTCCCAATACAGCAGGCGGGCGTCGTCGCATATTCCATCTCTCATTTGTCAGATACCAAACAGACTTCAGTCAACCTATTTCCAAAAATAACTAAGTAGGTAGGTAGGTAGGTACCTTCTCAAACATTTGCAACGGCGCATCATCTTGACAGGCGGATCTCATCTGTACAATATCAATGTGTATTTGTATTGGTATGAACCAAATAAGATTAGTGGCTGCTAGAGTGCAGTTCGCTAAGTGTACACGTCAAGACTGTTATTTCATATGGTGTAACAACCGGAGTGCCATGCTCGAGCTACTGCAGCACGCTGCCGAGTAAACGTGTCCTACTGACACCAAATGAAATCAAAATGCGTCGCCGCGCCACCCATTGAATACAAAACTACACAACCGTTTGACAGTGTACTTATGTACATTTAGTCACAGTGATGTAGTTTATTATACAATCAAACTATTCTCGAAACACGTTCTATGAGCCACTATTATTCAGTAAGTCTTAAAACACTACTTCACACAGCCTGAGCCAACTCTATCGCAGGATAGCGCGAAAAAACCAATGCGGCGTTGCCACACCGTGCAGCCGAGCGTACGAGCAGGTAGAGTCCACAATGCATATACATAATGTAGCTATCTAATCTATGTGCGTATTATTATACAACACTTGTCTTTTTTGAATAACTAATGATATTCAAGCACTACTTAAAGATATATTTATTTTGTAGACCTCATGTCCCCCAATTAATCTAAAAAGACTCCAATTTGAATAATAATATTGACATTTACAATTAAACTTCGAGTAAAAACAACAGAACCAAGTCATTCTACATAAAAATAGAAGCGGTTTAGTCATTGCTGCCTCTTTATTACTCAAATTAGAGTGTTTATTTTGTATCGGATTCTTAACTCCGTAAGACATTTCCATGACAATAATTAAATAGGTACTTAATATAGAACATCTACGAAGTGTTATTACAACATAGCATGGTGCACTTACCGCTGGAGGGGTTCACATAAGCAAGCTTTAAGTCCATTTCAATAGTTTGAGATGGTTTTAGTTCAACAGTGTTCATTTCATAGTCCACGGGGGGGACATCAGTCACGATCTCACTCTTCGCCTGACTCGTGGAGGCGGCTAGACTTTGCGTTACACTCATTTTTGGAGCGTCTTCGTGCATTATACACAAATAATTGGACAGGGCGACAGAATAATGTCGCCCAGAGAACTTTAAGTATTTCACCTATGCCGTATAAGGATACGCTTTATCTCAAAAATCACGCATAAAAGCGATAATACGTGTGTCAAAATGTAGGTCTCTAGGCCACTTCACTTACACTTTGATATTCCGACCGACATAACTCAGGTTCAATGGAGCTACCGTACTCATGACTGACATTGAACTAAGTCGGTAAAGGGCAGCGAGAAAATAACCCAATTAGAAAAAAACTGTGTCATGACCTATTTTATCAAAAAAATATTGAAAAGGGGGTTTTTGATCCTTAAAAATACTAATTCAATTTTAGAAAATGTAACATTCGTAATTAGTTCATGAACAAATATTGATAGTACTTTTAGCTATTCTATTTTACTCGGACTCTTGAAAACTTCAAAAAAGCATATAATTGATGCAAAATTACTATGTTTGCTTATGAGCATGCCGTGTTGTGTAATAAATGACCGTTTCTATTGCACAATCCTTTCACAAGGGCTCTGAATGTAGGTCAATCTTTATGAGTATGATTGCAATGTTATATCTTTATAAACAAAAGTCTCTAAATTTAAAGTGGTTAATATCGGATTCGTCATTATATATTTTTATTTATTTATTTTATGATTAGTTAATATTTAGTTAATTAAGATAGATAAAAGCGTAACAAAATTAAAATCTGCTTCCGGTGCTCGGCAGCGCCATCTGGATTGTTATTAAGATTATCTTCAAAATTGTATATTAGTTACATTAACAAACGATAGATGTCGCTGTTCACAAGTAAAATGACAATTTGGGTGTTTATTTGTACTCTATGTGTACAAATTAAAACCTCGATCCACTAAACAAAACACATTTCTTAAGCCTAATACATAAATGTGAAGCAAATTGTCGGCAAAACTTACAATTGGCTAGAGCTAAACTGATTTGCAAAACCTTCAGGCTCGTTTTACAATGTCTGAAGTTGCTGTTCACTTAACTGACACGTAGTTTGACATATTTAGTACAGAAAATAGGTCAAACTATAAGTCAGCTGGCCTAGCAGAAACTAAATTAGATTTTATGGAATATTCCCTGCAAATAGTAGGTATTTCTATAAGCATAAAAACTACTAAAGAGATTGTGTTGATGCTGTGGTTGATATGTAATATCTATGCGTCTAGATTAACTTTGATGTTTTGTCAATTAATTGCTGGCAAACTAACTTCAACTGGCAAATTAGGTTAGTCACTTAATAGTTCTGTGACTAACAATAACTGTAAAAATATTGAAAAGCTTGTCGAAGCTATGTACTTACTTTGATATACGTATGTACTATATATATATATCGAAGTGTGTAATTTTTGTAGTAATTATGCTTTCAACAATTACTCATAATTAGGTTATAATAACTGGGTGCTCTTAGGTAAAAAACATGTTTATTGGATAATCTATTTATTTATTATATGCATAGTCACAATTTACAAACATTCACACAATATTTGCTTTGCTTACTTTGATTTTGATGATTTTTTAATAAAATAAGTGCGTTTTGTACAACGGTTCCTTTTACTGTTATCCAAAATTACATTATCAAAATGACTTTTTTATGCGCAAGTAATAAATACATCATTCATTTATTAGTTAAAAGCTGTATTTTGCATATCACGATCGTACAATAATTCATATGTGTTTTCGGAGAATAAATACAAATTTATTGATATGATATTGATTGATTACATAACTTAAAAATAAAAAACATAATGGAAATCCTTTATACGCGACTTTATCTCGATGTATTAATTTAGTTGGACTGCATGGCGTTCGTGATGATCTCCCTGGAGATGATAAGCCTCTGGATTTGTGATGTGCCTTCGTAGATCTGGTAAATCTTGGCGTCCCTCATCAGCTTTTCTACGGGGTATTCGGTGTTGAAGCCGTTGCCTCCGAAGATTTGGACGGCGTCAGCAGCGGCCTTGTTGGCGATCTCGGATGCGTGACATTTAGCTACCGAAGCGAGAACGGTGTTCCTGATACCTGCATCAAAAAACATTATTTATATTTTAAGCACATATAGTTTACATGAATTAGCATCATGGACATTTGTTGACATCTGGATTGTAAATCGCTTTGTGTTTCTTTGAAAAATACAAAGAATATTGAGCTATAATGTATGCTTGCACAACATTACAGATCATACAGAACAAAGGAGTGAGGGACATGATATCTTATGATCGACATGAAAATCTAAATACATAATTCAACATCACCATATTTACACATTTCGGCTGTGGTGACGGGGCCTGTTTCTGAATGTAGCTTGTGAATACCTTAACCTACTTATTTCTACTGGACTTATAGGTGGAAACAGTTTGTCGCTGTTGCAAATAACCGCTATTGATCAAATATCGACTCGACACAGAATAAAAATAGTAGCGGATCTGGGTTAACTGTTCCACTGTGAGCTTGGTCAATTAAACTTTAAATAGGCTGAATGGGATATCCGAGTTTAATTTTTTCTGACAAAATACGGGATACGAATAAAAAATCAGGAAGAAAATTGAAAAAGTAATTGTCGGAGGGATTAAAATGTTGGAGATAGTAAAGAAATGTCACAATAGGTTACCATGATCGGCCATCCAAGCGGCTCTCATCCAGGCGAGGCGGGCAGTCTCCACACCGATGGCCATGTCAGCCAACATGAAGGCGACGGCCTGGTGTCGGGCAATGGGCACGCCGAATGTCTTGCGCTCCAAGGCATACTTCGTGGCCTCAGTCAAAGCTCGCTGGGCCAGACCAGTCGCACCAGCTGCTACCTGTATGGCCACATTTAAAATGCTTTATGTAAAACGATCCTATCTATAGATAATCGTCTAATGTATTTGTCCCATTCTTCCCCTACTTTCTAACATACCTACATCTGACTTGCATACAGCTATTTGTCAATATGCTAATATTAAATATTTATATTATCATCTCTCTCTGTGTTTGCTAACGTATCCACGTGGGGCTAAACATTTAGGTATAAAACTGTTTATTTAATAATGTTGTTTTACTAGGTTTTTTAGGGTGTGTTTACAAATGCACACACGGAAGCCACCCAGACCCGAAAAAATACTTTACGGATCACAGAAAGTGTTGATCCGTGCGGGAATTGAACCCGCGACACGTCGCACTGTAGCCAGTTGTCCAGCCATTGCGCCAACCTTGCAGTAACTAAAACTTGTACAACATTACAAAATAAGTATTATAATACGATAAATTGAATAAACATACAAATTGCGTGAAAGTACAATGAATAAAATGCAGCAAACTAAATCAATAGGTATCAACAATCAACATATAATTACCGGACCGGAATGACATACCGCTGACATTCCGTAATTGGAACACTTGTCGAGCGTCTGTTATTAACTTCAGTGCCACGATCGATCCTTTATTTCTAGGAAAATTATTTATTCATTACTGTGAAGTTGTTACATAGTAGGAAAATTAAAGGTAAGTTACCGGTGGGCGAGTCTTGTCAAAGGCGCCCATAGCAATCTTGAAGCCAGCGCCTTCTTCGATGAGAACGTTTTCCTTGGGTACGCGAACGTCTTCAAACGTGATGCCGCGGGTGTCTGAAGCACGCTGACCCATGTTTTGCTCCTGTGTACACCAAAATTATGTTAATATAATTCCTTGCTATTGTTTACTTCGTATGAAAACACAATTGTTTGTGTTTTGATAGATTTGTCTACTTTTTTTTTGCTGTGCCTGCTTATTATTGATGTGTTTTTAATTCTATATCTGAAATGAAAGTAAGGAGGAGGCAGGGATCCGTCGTATTCACGTCCCAGCTGCTGCAGGAGATTCTCCAGGCATTGGGGATCGCGCGACAATCTCCGGCCACTGGCACCATAAGCGCGGGTCTGTAGACGGCGAGCAAGGGCAGCTCACCGCTCCACCAGAATTTAGTCATCACACCACCATAGCTCCACTAAGCTCTACTAAGGCTAATGTTCGAGCCGGAATTGCAGATGCAAGCGCAAACATGTACCATGGCCCAGCTCGCAGTAGGAGAGGGAACGAGGAAGTTTTTAGTCCATAACAGACTGACACAGTCCCTTGCCCTAAACGGTCATAGTAAAAATGTTATAATAGTTTGGTAAATAAAGATTTCGGACTGTCACTCGTCTATTAATATTTAACATGGAGAATATCCATTACAATTGTTTTGAAGTAGTTTACTTACTTGTACAAACTATTTCTTTTATATTGATTATACAAATTATACGTTTTGTAGTTGTTGTCACTTATAAAAAAAGTAAGCCAAGGATTTTACAAATAAAAATAGCAATGGCTTGGTACACTATGATGGGAAGAGACCAGTTGGTGTCGCCTTGGGTGGGTTATTGACCACCCGAAGGCGGTATTCAGTGTTGCAGGTAAACATGTGTATGTGTGGGCGATAATTAGAGAAGGTGTGAGACGGTGGCGTGTGGTGTGGGACCCATGTGGGCAACCTTGCGCCATCCCATCTGGCAACTAGGTCAGGTGCTGTCACTGCGGCAGCGCAGACCTTCAAACGGCAAGCAAACCCCGTGACCTATTGGAACTATTGCTCAACCGCGTAGGGAAGCAATTTCAATCACTAGATGCCCACATACCGAACATATCGGTCGGTTCACATATAAGTATCCGGTGAATCTCCTCTTTGTGCAAATATGAAATTATTATCTTTAAGAATGATATCTCACAAATCAAATTAAATATACTTAAAACTCATTCAACCAATTTCGTTTGTTACGCTTTTTCATGTAAGATATTTCCTATTGTTACTATATATGTATTGAGTATTATTCGTTTCAAAATACTTAATTGATATTTGTTAAGTCACACGAAAATGTTATTTGTTAAAAATAAAACATGATTGAAATTGGGAAAACATCAAAGACGCTATAAGAAATATTTAATATTTTTCTTTCTTGATACATGGGAAGTGCTACCGGTATAAGGTATAAGTATGGATAAGAAAAAATATATGAATAGCGAAGTTTATGTTATTACTTATGTTAGAATTGAAATAAAAGTTTAGTATAGACCTTGCGTCCGGGGGTAACTCCGGGCCAATCCCTCTCGACGATGAATCCGGTGAACGCCTTGCTAGCAGGGCACTTGGGGTCGGGGTTGGTTCGTGCCAGCACGAAATACCTGAATTGGTAACGTGCTTCATTTTAAATACTGGCAATAGAAAAACTTTATTTTTTATGCACCAAATCTGCATAACCTGACCTCGTACTGTTTCTCAATAACGTCTTTTGCATTGACATACCAGTTGGCTACCCCTCCGTTTGTGATCCACATTTTCTGTCCGTTGATGATCCACTCGTCTCCTTTCTTCTCGGCCCTGGTTTTGACACCGGCCACATCAGATCCTGCGCCCGGTTCGGTGACACAATATGCCTGAATAATGAAACAGTGTTTGTAACGATACACATAGTTTTTACACATGTGTCGTCAGCTGTCCGGTCTAGTCATGTCGAACTTGGATACTACTTCCTTGCAAGTGTTGCTTTTACTCAACAATATTTTCCCACAGAGTATTTTCGTGTGAAAAACGATTTGTTATAATATAGAAGCTAAAAAAATTTGATCAATTCAAATCAATGGCCGCATCCATAGCTGTCATTATTGAAATTAATTATTTCTTTTGTACTCACAGCTACGATGGGTTCATCGATGAGTCTTCCAAGGTACTTCTTCTGTTGTTCCTTGTTACCGGCGATGATAACGGGCATTTGCTGAAACATAACCCCATCGATATACCAACCTAATACAACTTCCATCACTTTTTTTTAAACAAGCAAACATTATATTTAAAGTAAAAAAAAACAACAAACACTACTCTACATAAATGAGATGCCATAACGTATAGTTAGGAGTACTTTATGGAAAACTAGGGCGATAAAGTTAAGCTAGTGTTTACACAAAGTTAATAACAACATAAATATGAATTTTCTTTACAAAACGTTATTAGAGGAACATAGATTACAATTTTACATTACATAACATTATGGCTACCATTACATTACACCCGTTAATGTGTTAGTATTAAAAAAAATCTCAAACTGTATTAACTCTGAAAGCCTAGTTAGTGGTCGATTGATACCTTGACAGTGAGTTGCGATTTAATTTCAAAAGCTGTTTTGAAATGATATAACCACTATTTTTAAGTTTTCATGGAATATTCATTAATTTGAATGCTGGTTACATGAGGTACATAGGATATGAAGCTAGAATCACACACATGCTGTTAGCTACATACATATACGAGTGATCTTTATGAGACAAGTATTCGTGCAATGTTCATGCCAAGCAGGCCGCATGAGCCACTCACTCCAAGACCACTGGCTTCCATTGCTGTCATAATGCCAGTACATCCGAACGCCAGCTCTTCAGCTACCATACACCCATCAAACACATCCATATTCATACCACCTGGAGGAAACAACACTGCCGATAAGCTTAATGGGTTATGGAAACGAGATGGTGACACGTCGCACAATGACGGATTTTTATTCGACTTGTGAAGGACATTTATAAAGGACATACATATAGGATAAAGATACATTAGACACTATATATCGAGTTTTAATATCATAACACTGGAAGGCTCAGGTTATCCTAGCCTAAGAACCATAGATATAATATTATAAATAGATAATAACATTGACTAAGCGACAACATAAAGACATTTAATTTTTTACAAACAGTATGCATACTTAGGCGACACTTAATAGAATTTCCATAAACCTGAGAAAATACACATATGTAACAACATTATACAACAGGTTTGTTCATTTGTCCTATAATTGAACTGAGATCTTAAAACGTATAATTTAAGATTGTGTATGAATGTTGCACGGCACTACATATTTCATACAATGAGAAGGAACAATAATGTACTTTCTTTCGAGACTATTTGCTATATGCGTATCGAATTGCATGGTGAGAACTTTTACTTATAACTTTTGTATGAAGTGGTCACTCCCTTGACCTTCATTGTATATTCATGTGCGAATTCCCCTTTCATTAACTTGTACAGAATTTTATTCATAGTACGATGCAAGGGTCGCGTTTATAACGAAATCGTCCTTTGTTCATAACCAAAGAAGTTTTATTTTACTTTAAGAATTGTTAGGGTTGTGAACAAATTCAATACTTGTTACTTTCATTGTGTTGTGAGAGTTTTATCAATGCAGTAGTTTAAATACCCCCAATGTTGATTTACGTTGAATGACTTCGTATGTAAATATTCCCGTCTTTGTCACATGCGAATAAACACTAAATATAATCTTCTGCAAGTTCTTTTTACATAACAATATGCTTTGATATATCACATAGTACTATGACGAACGTTCTATATCCTGTTTTTCTTCTAAGAATAACAACAAACCCATATTTATACGAATTATATTCATGCACAAATAAGCATTCCTAACCGAATTTAAATTGTGTTTTGTTCATTTGTTTCTCGTGTATTCCTGTATAGTTTACATAAAATATATACTATATTTTGAAATTTTTATTTTGAAAATTTTAAACCTTAATTTTTATTTTACGTTGATGGCACCTCAGATACATTGAGAGCCTGTTTCACCATTAAATAAGTACATAAAATATACTTTTTAGTTAAAATGTATCTGGTAGATAGTAGCTATCCAGATATTGTGAAACAGGAACTGAAACTTAGATCTGTTTGAACGAGACTCACTCCTAAGTTAGTGCCGTCTATCGCTGTGTTAATTCCTGTGCATCCGAAGGCCATCTCTTCAGTTATGATACATTCATCCATAACCCCAAAGTTGCCAACGCCCCCTGAAATGCTTCCAGAAGTTAAAACAGAGAGCCAAACAATTTTAGCGCCATTTTTTTAAATTTAGAATATGAAGCATTACGTTTTACTGTATCAAGAAGACAAGTTTGTATATCATCAAGAAAACAAAATATATTGTTATGTTCGCAATTTAAAAATATAGAATATGTTTTTTAAGTACAATTTCTAAATGTACAGAGTACTATTACACGACGAGCTACTGCCATTCGGCAATGTTTTTTTAGTGTCAGCTTTGTAGTGCTCGTAATAAAATAGAAAATCCATTAAACTTGTTAGATTAACTTAAGCCGATGTGCATGCTTCTGAAACTATTATCCATAATAAAATGATGAATGTAATTATTATTCCATTGCTTTGATACGTAGTTATTATTTGAAGTAAATGTTGAATAAATTATTGAGTACCGATGATTCGAGTTTTTATTATTATACATGTTCCCAGTTATAAGTAAATATTTTTACATGAAAATCCTTAGAGTAGTTTCGGATATGTGAGTTAGACAACAAGCAGATAATACGAACAGACGAACATACAGAACATAGTTGAAGCAATCGCAATGTATTATATGTACCTAGATATCTTAAACTTTTAAATCCCTTTCCTTGCTTGTTAAATTTATTAAACTGTACTGTTAGGTACACCGAATTCCTAGCGACATTATTATTGTTGTGTTCATGCATCTCTCCTAATATATTTGTTCAGTAACGTTGATGGCACCTCAGATAGGTTGAGACTAGATCTGTTTAAGCAGGACTCACTCCTAAATTAGTTCCTCCAACTGCAGTGGTAATTCCTGTGCATCCGAATGCCATTTCCTCGCCTACGATACACTCATCCAGAACCCCAAAGTTTCCAACGCCCCCTGAAATGTTCCTAGAAGCTCAAATTGGCTGAACCACATTTAATTATCGAGTTTTATTTATATATACGTAACAAATGTAGATTCAATCACAATTTGTAGTTTGTTGTATGTAAATGAGCAGGTAGTGGGACCACTCAGCCCTGAACAAGGTGGAGTAAAAAAGTTTTCAACATAAGCCTAGCCCACGTAGAAGTTTTAACTAGTGTTTGTTCAGTGATATGCATTGTTGTTGTAGATATATTTCATATATTCCATATTGTAGTAAAACATATATATCCTCGTCATATTATTAATTACCTCGTACATTAATTACATGCATGTCTCAATCACTTATTTTTAATGAACATATAACAGATACTACAAAATATATTTGTTAAATATTTCAAGAGGTAAGTAGCTATCGGGGCGTACATAAGTTTCCCAGTTTGACGTTGCACAATAATGATACTTGTACTAAATGAATTATGATCGAAATGACTACTCTAAAGTTTTGATCAATGATATTTTTTCCCAAACCATCTAAAAGGTCCCCATGCTATCACCGTTCTCAGCAAATGAATCACACATTACAGTAATTGCTTGCTTACTCCGACATCAGTGATAGTCAACGCCGCCATTATCCCTGAGCAACCAAACGCGAACTCTTCGCAAACGAGACTTCCTTCAAATACTCCTAAACCTAAACCCCCTGCAAAACGTCGTCGATGACGTCATTAATTACTAGGACTGCAATTTTATAAGGAGCATGTTAGAAGGAGATATTAAGAAATATTATTCTTATAGGTATAGTTGGAATGAAAGCATTATTCCATGAAAACTTCCGGCCCTGAAGCTAGTCAGTGCAAATATTTTTCTGTTGCAGGATTCTTGACTTACACCTATGGAAGATGTGGAAATGGCGGCTTTAATGCCAGCGCAGCCGAACGCCAGCTCCTCGGCTACAAGGCAACTGTCGAGGGCTCCTAATCCCATACCTCCTAGAAGGTTTTATTAGTTAACAAGTTAAGTTTAATCGAACTGATCCATTGATGGTATTCAGTAAGTAACTTATATTTTTCTTCATACTACGTTGGGGGCAAGCCTAGCACATTCCAACACATTAAACTGTTATAGAAATTGCTAAGATATAAGAAGTTATCAGTATAGCCAGATTAGTTTTTTATTGTATTTGATAATTCTTTTCTAGACTATCGTGACTTCATGTTACTAAAGGACATTTCTAGTGGCACAGTTTTACCATTGCATCAATATTTTTTTATTGATTGAACAATTAACTAGTTTTTATTGTCGTGGCCGATTTATTACATTCGTGAAATAGATTAGCAGTTTTAAAAAAGCATGACGTCAAAATATCTATGTCTCACAAATTAAGTAATTTTTATTGGTTGTCTGTGAAACAATATAACTTCAATCACTTCTTTAAAGAAAATATATTTAAGAATTAAGCTAAGATTCAATCGACTGGCACAGATAGAGTTGTTTTATTAGTGCTCTAACGATCCGTCTGAATAACCTAACACTGTCATAAGATTTGGCTAATAAGACGAAGACATTTTGGCATTTAAAGGTCGAACCTTAACAACCGATATCAATCCAAATTATTTTAAAACAGTTTGTATTTTAACTTAAGTCAGTAACGCCAGCGTTATATTTTGACGTGTGAGGTTATTGTAGGCCCAACCCTCTACTTCCCTTAAGCCTCTCAAAAGGCCGACATCGCATTCGTAATTTCTCTGGTGTTGCGGATACCCACGGGGGACTCCTTATACCGTGCTTACCACCAGGGAATCCATTATGAGTTACAGACCTTTGTACACTATTTAAATTAAAAGCCAGTCCTTTGTAGATTTGTGATAATGTGTGCAATAAAAAAATACGAGTTCTATACATGCCATCAAGTCCAGTGTTTTTGGATCAGTCATTAATACTAAATTTTATACTATGTCGAATTCTATTTTTAGTAGCCAAATTTTATTGAGTTTATTTTATTAAGAATAGAAGAGAATATTCGATTATAAAACATATATCAAAGTTATCACCGCGTTGTCTTACACAGAAGTATTCATAGAAACGTGGAAAGTACTTGTCAACAATACACCTGCACTATTCTTTCAATAAAGGGATCACAGTAATTCTATAAGAAATCGGATTATTTCTTTTGAGGCGCGAACAAAAGAGATAGGTATCTCCGATCGAATATCACGCTTTGCATATATCCACATAAAGAGAACTATTTACGAATGAATACAGCATTGTTATATTTTCGTCATAGTGTCGCTTTGATTTAATATTTGAATAGATTTGAGACGATTATGTACTTTTAAGACTCATATAACACTGACCAAAACAATTTATTATCTCTTTTGGGCTTCGAGAGCTTGTATTAGTAACGTGCGCAGATTTAATATCTAAAAGCGTGAACCTATTTAGTCCTACATATTGTCTAAAGGCCTAGGGGACGTCTTGTATTTATTAATCAAAACTACATACTAAACTATTTCGCCGTACCTATCGCATTTTGGTAGCAAGATGTGTATTATTATAAAGTAGGTAGTTTCCAACCAGATAAAATCAATATTCTCTCCGTTATTTAAAAAACGTCTATTTTCAATGATTTTTTATGAAATAGCACTTTTCAACGTTATAATTTGTTTACGTCGCGTAATAAAAAATCTAACAAAATACAAATACTTAATATTGTTTAATTAATTAATGAAAGTGCAATGGATTTTATAAGTTAAAACAATTTCTATTTGACCGAGAAACTACCCAATTGCTAATGACTAGATTACGTAGCTATTAAATGACTGAATACGGCGATGAATAAAACTTAGATCGATCCAAAGATTTAGATTTAAGACTGGTTATTAGGTAATTTTTTGGCCTTGTATCTTTTGCATAAGGTATAGACTATTTTGAATTGGTTAGTATACACGATATCATTACCGCAGTGTTCGGGGATGTGTCCGTTCATTAGACCGACTTCCCACGCCTTCTTGACGATGGGCCATGGGTATTCCCCGGTCTTGTCGTATTGGGCGGCTACCGGAACGATTTCTTCTCTGGTGAATTTGCGAGCCAAATCTTGTAAGGCTTTCTGCTCTTCGCTTAGCTCTGAAAAGAAAGGAAGAAAGAATAGAAAATTACACTTTTCATCTCCGCTGGGATTGGAGTAGCTAATCTTTTGCTAATATATCAAAAACACTTTGATGTATGTATACACCTGGGATTTCAAACTAAGACACTACCCCTCTTATTACAAAACAAAATTTATCTATAGGTAGTCTAGGTTTAAACCATTGAGTCTCAATCTTATTCTCACCTACCTTCAATTTGAAATACAAAAACTGGCTTAATGGTTTAGACCTAGAGTAAAGAAAAACCTTGTTTTATAATAAGGCCGTTTAAGTTTAGTCGTACATATGGCAATAACTTGATCAACGAGGTAGTCGGCATAAAAACTTAACATGACTAAACGGAAAAGTTGCCCAGACCGCGTATAGGAACAATACTGAGGCATTTGTCAAACGTTTACCCTTACCATGTAATTGTTCAATTAGAGTGTTTGCTTACTACGCTAACAACTTGTCAGATAAACAACAGCTACATTAAAAAGTTTACTTAAAGACTGCATTCTATCGATTTCCTATTAGGTACAACAGTACGAGCCAGCACGAGGCGGCTTAATAAAATATGAGATCTAGGCTTCTTGGCACCTGACAGATGTTGTTAGCCGTAGTGCAATAAAAATAGATGGCTTTACAACATCGAGGCGGGAAACACCGGCCGGAATACAAGATACCTACCCAAGAATACTGCATTGTTACTTAGCTATTTCTAAGCCGCGAATGGGGTCGTTCTCAGCCATCAATATCGTCAAGCAAACTAGAGTAAAATATTCAGGTGTGCGGGTGCAGTTTTGTCACAAATTTATTTAACTGCACTTAGTTCATTGACTCGGTGTTCGGTGTTTTATTACTTTTATTGGACTTCCTAAATTTTATTAAGGTAGGTGCCAATGAGAAGTGTATCAGAGCGAAGCAACCTAATTAAGTATGTAATTGCTATGCTTCTTATACATTTTGTGATTACACTTTGGACAGACTGACTTATTTCTAGGCTTGCATGCCTCAAATAAGTTCAACGATAGCTAGAAGATAGGATATTTCTCTCGAGTGTAGTGTGTGGTTATGGAATCGGGACGACAGTAAGAAAAGGCCGGTAAAAGGTCATACGTAGCAGCAAACTCGTATTATCTTGTACCTATTGAACTATTATACCTTTAATCATTTGGATACAAGTCGCATTGGCGTGATATTCTCCGGCTTTTTATCTATGAGGCATGAATTGAACTTTGAAATTCTTGTCATATAAAATAACATTGAAATATCTGATAATAATTTATCGATAACAGGGTGGAGACTAAGCCAAGCGGCGTCAAGTGTGGTTCTAAATCCGGATAATACCGTGACACTAAAATAAATGTAATAAACATTGATAACCGTTGGTTAGATATTGTATATTGTTGATTTCGTTTGTTTTTAACAAAAGCAGAAAGGGCTTATTAGGGAGGTACTTACTTAGTCACTATTTTCCTGTAGGTACAGAAAAATGAAATGTTTTCTTTACTATGATATTGCTTCAAAACAACAATACGTTGGTAACGTGTAAAGCCGATTAAATTTTCAGACTAAATCTTGGGATCGGAACATACCTAAGAACATAACAGGTACTTACAGAGGAGCCGCGTTTAAAATTTAGTCTGGGTTTACAAAATGATGTATTATATTCTTTTGATTAATTCCCTATGTGTTTAAAGATAAATCTTACCAAAGCACATTCCAGTGGTCGGCAAAGGTTTGGCGGCTGCGACCGGCGCTGTAGTCGACAGCTTCCTGTAAATCGGCCGGGTGGCACGTATAACCTGAAATATTTACAAATTAAATTAAGAGTTAATTAAGCATTCTGGACTTCGCTGAGCCAGAGTTCCAGCGTGGAAGCACTAGAAGACAGCAGTATTATTAAAGAAAATGCTATGCTACAAAACATTGCATTTTGGACGTCAGGTTTAACGTGATTGAGCAACAGCACACGTAAAGTTATCCTTATACACATTATAATAAGTACTATAATAGTAAAACTCATATATCATTCATACCTACAGTTCTTAATAAGTTCAGCATTTATAATGCAGTGTTGTTTTTACTTGTATGACCTAAGGCATACTTGTGCTAACTTAGTTACTACGCTTTCAAAAAAGCATAAATAAATATTTACGAATACCTACTTGGTCGTCGTATTTTCATTTCTCATGAATAAGAAGAATAACAACAGTTTTGTTGATTCGGAAGATAAGATTTATTTCTTAAAATTATCTGAACGCACTGAGCATTAAATAATTGAGATTTCCTTTTAAACGTCGATCCAAAGCGAGATTAGTATGAAATATCTAGATTGTATATAAAACATCATTCTAATGGTTTATTCATTTAGGACAGAGTAAACTGAAGAGACATTATTGAAATCGATAGTAGGTACTTCGATACTAATAATTATTGTTCCTATTGAATAGTGACACATGAGGTTATGTGCCTTATTCATCAATGTATAGTAACTTTTATCTCTCTAATATAATATATACTTTTTGGTCCATATATAGGTAGATAGGTGCACGAAAGGCAATTTCGTGGTACTTATTGACATCGTGTGTCTTTCTAAATACCTAGGTATATATATAAAATATTATATGTTGATCTTTGTAATTAATAAAAACTACGTTGCCAATCTCGGAAATTCTTTTACTTACCATTAGAAAGCTATACTGAGCCATAGTAAAAAAAGGCGAAAATTATATACTTTTTAAATTATATTATATAGCAAAACATATATTATTAATATTCAAAAAATCTTATGTCTAGCTGTGCGAACCTGGCACGGCCCGGTAGTTGGCAATTTTTTAGTTTAGAAGTAAGCTAAAATTTTAAAGACTTCGTCGTATTCATGAATGAGTATTATATTCAGAATTACATTGATTGTATCTTATGCTTTGTGCTCTAGCTCTTTTGCAGTACCTACCTATATCCTGTTTATTTTCTTTGTATATATGTATGTATTGGGTAGTTCAAGAAACTAACTGCCATTTTATCACTAACCAGATCGTTTAAAGCCGGATCACTGCTGAATTACTGATAATTAGGTACTATAATTTACTTATCGGAACTTGTTTTGTAATAACAACGTGATGTGAACATTTACAAATTAATTATCAATCTATAAAGGCTTACTCATTGAGACTGTTTCCAACCAAATACTTATATTAAGTATAAAAAATGCTGATGCGCAGATCTGCAATTCATTGAAAACGTAATTAAAAATGATTTTGGATTTTCAAAAGGTTACATAGCTAATATGATTTCTCGCTTATATGGTAGATACCTGTTTATATCTTTGCATTCATTTAATACACTGCTCAAGTCCCACAAAGATAAACAAGATCGTGACGAAATATTTGTAGTCTCACATTTATTTGGCAATATTTTATGTTAATATCACATTTCCTTAACGTCGTCGTCTCGTTATCAGTTGTCAGTCCAAAGTTCATGCAATTACTAGCAATTGTGGACTTCGACTGTCCTTATTACAATGTTTACACATTGGAAATCAAAGTCCAAGTTAATTCAAAGGGGCACACAGGTACCACTACCCACTATCTACTGGTTAAGACTTAAGTGAGACATTAGCGCGATGTGATAGGATTCTGCTATTTTTTTGCAATGTTCTTTGGATGATTTTATTTATGACAAATAAGGTTTCAATGCCATTAGGTGGCGAACGAGCTTGCAGTTTGACTTGATCACCCTTATCACACAGACAGGGTGTGAAGGACAGGACAGGACAAATAGGTTATGAAATCGCTTTGGAAATCCAAGTGGTGATAGTATGTTTGTATGTGTGTAAAAATGGCAGAACTATTGTCATGTACCCAGATTATCTTCAAATAGAGTAGTAGTTTGCTAATATTAGCATCGAATTCATTGATGGACAATGATTTTATTTAATACATAATGTAATGCTTCTAGATCTAGATTTACATCTTGTTCCATCATTTCGCTTTTGTTGCCAATCGCATTCAAATGATTTTCGTCACGATTTGCATGGACTTTGCTCCTACCTATTAACTACCAGACTACTAGCTACTCTCAAAATTTCAAGGGCACGAACGTGAATAAACAACATGTTGTGTTTCCTAGTATATTTACGAAATATGTTTTGCTTATTTGCTATGATAATTGTAATACATATATGAATATTTGATATGTTATATAAAATATTGTTTAAAGAAATTTGTGCCTAAATATGAAGAAAATATAATTCTTAGAAGCGCCAGGGCAATAATTTTTATTGCTTCGTGATTCTTATCGGCTCAGCTTTATCTCATTAAATGGACATTCGCCAATTCAAGTCGTATCGTACCCAAATAATATATTTTATTACAAACAGAACTTAAAGAAATAAATAATAGAGAATCAAATCGTTCACTTCTTCAGTTGGAATTCCGGGTAAATTGCAATACCACAGCCACGGCACAGCCATGGCAAGATCCCCCCAAAAACTCTCCAACATGGAGGTACAGCAAGACGGTAATTTTGTGGTGTGTGGTGTTAAAATTTGGAAAAATTGTGAGAACAATATTAAAACCATCAATTTACTTTCAAATACAATCCTCTCTGTATTTTAAGTAACTTGGTGATATTTGACAAGGCACAAAATTGTCATCAGTTTATTTTGAAGCAGTGCGGAGTTCGCCGGGCCATCTCGTTGAGAATAAATTACTCAATAGTAGTGGCAGTGTTGAGAATCTACTCGTAACACTAGCATATAGCACAGCAATACAATTATGATTTAAAGAACTATTTTCACATAATAATTATTGCTACCAGTACTAATAAATCTGAAGGATTTATGTGTCTTTATAAAAAACTGTTTATAACGGCATAATTATACATGTAATTATTTAAATTATTTTTATCACTAAAAATAATTTTATTCAGAAGACTATTCTATGTATATTTTTTTTGTTTTGGGTAAAGGGTGAACGCACAGCTTGCTTTCTTTAAGATTCTAAGATTTATGTTATTGTGTCATAGATCCTAAGAAGGATTAAATTACCAATAAGCTACCAATTATTTTAACTACTTTTCTTTAATAAACGATACATTAATGTATAAATATCTATGTTTGAAAAAATATTTTTCATATTACTCACCGCCATAATAAAATTGTTTCAAGGTATAGTTTCAGTTATCGAAAATAATATATTTAGTAGGCATCTATGTAGTATTTCATTTATACATAAATAAATGATTATAAATACAGGCAGAAGGTAACTATTTAAATAATTAATGTCATAGTAATTTTTCTTAAGAGATTATTTCTGAATTACAGAGTTGATGCTATTAATTTCAAATAATAATGTGAGCTGTCATTTTTTAAGAAGATACTAATACTATACCATGGACATTAGGCTTATGTTTATACTGCTGTGGTAATATACTCAATTAAGAGGTGGTCGTAAATAGTTTATCAGAGAGTACAAAGATTATAATTTTATCACTGAATGGTGTTAGCATCAAGAGATAGTATGAAGTAATAGATAAGCAACCATATACCTACATTCTTTTATTTTTATTTTGAACCGTTTTAATCTTTATAATAAAATGATGATGGATTTAGTATTCTGATGATGAATTATTATCCTCAATATTATAGCACTTATAAAATTGTGTTTTGTTAACTTCTCAAATCGTACCTAATGACATTTGATAATTAAAAACTAAATTGTGTTTTGCTTAGATATGCATTCCAGAAGACTAGGGGTACTTTTATTTCCGTAATGATGTTGCTTTAAAATTAAATCTAAATTGATGACAAATATTCTATATTCTGCTAAATTGGTGCATACCTGAAATTACAATTCTAAATTACAATATTTGATATGTTATTACAATAACCTGCGATACTGCTCAATCAAAATAACCTGTGATATGAATCTCATTGCAACCACACAAGTGATTAGAAAAAACATTATCAATTTCTTCAAATCTGTTCATAAAATATTTGTAGTTATAATATGGAACTACTTAAAATGTGACAATATAAAATATCTTGTCAATTTTTTGGTAATGAATTTATGCAAACCCAAAAAGTGGCCATGTGTTTCTACCATATTATTATTCTTATTAACCCCATAGGATATGAATTAGATTCTGATTAGACATATTGCAATATGTGTTTGGAAGGAAATTTTAAATTAGTTTACAAATAAAGACAAAGAAATTTAAAAAGATAAAAAAAACTTAAAATCGCTCAGCATAGATTTAGGCCACCACCAACCTTTTAACTCCAAATCATTAATTTTAACTAATGTCAAAACTATGATATTATTTTAATTTGAATGCATTTAAATTTTGAATTTAGAATTTACTGGTTTTACTCTTTTGTCAGTAATATCACAAGTAAGTTAATAAAAAGAAAGGTAGGGTATTTTGAATATTAAAGGAGCCATTTGCATTTTTACAACATTCATTGAAATAACATCTAATTAATTTTCACCTTTCTATTTATAGGCTTTTGTAGTGTGTCATAAATAAGCAAGTAACTTTAGTTGAATAACAGCATGTTTTTAAAGACAGTAGAAAGTTATAAATACCAGTTTGTAGAGTACGTAATATTACATGGTACTGTTCAATGATCTTTGGACTTTGGACTGGCAAACTAAATCAGGACACATATTTAACCAAAAAATGACAAAACGATGTATAAGAATTCTCAGTTATACCTTTAATTAAATTTGATACATATAAAATGTACAAATAATACAAAATAAACTTAATAATACACGTTTTAATAAGAAAATTCACTTACTTGAGTTATGGGATTCATTGCGAGTTTGCTCCTTCAAGGGACCGGCGCTGAATTTTATAAATTTTTAAAATTATCTTTATTTAGACTTTGATCCGCAGAAATTGTACTGTGCCCTTGTTATTCGTTAAACATGAAGACAAACAAACTCCTGCGCCGAGTCGACGTATATGACACAGAACGTATATTTATACAAAACGCGGAATGACACGAATACAGATAACAAATATTTATAAGGGGCTTTGCATTTTGAATATCGGTCTTTTACGTAAAACGTTTTTTTATTTTACATTTTTGTTTGAAAGTAATTAATTATGGTTAGGTTGTATTAAAGATAATTTAGATTAATTTAATCTTATAAACAAGGCGGAATGGATACCCTTGTCTTATTTATATTCGTAGATCAATTGCTTACCCCGTGGCAAAGTTTAGTTTCGATTACCAATCAATCATTTAATAAAATTCGTCAGTAAATATAAAATTATTTCAGTAATTTTCATATTAATTTTTTTAGCCTCGTCATATAATATGAAAGGACTATTAATGTAATATTCTAGTCCGCATAATACTCAAAAACTATAAATTTTCTCGATATCTTGCCTTGACTTATATGACAAAAGTTACAAATTGCATAATAAACAAATTTAGCAGGTCCTGCGTAATAACGGACCTCCACCTCGGCCTAAGGCAGGACAAGAAACAGGGGTTTTTTAGTCAGTAAGAGTCTGACACACAATAGGTAACAAGTTTTTTTTATTTAAAAGTCTGACACTCCCAAGTCTAAAACCCTCATACCGAACCATAGCCGAGAGAAGTCATTTGATGATTTTTCCTCCTCAGGTAAAATGGTTATCAACAGTCGTTACCGGAATTTAATGTGCCTAGCTACTCATCTAGCGAGCAGGTTGCAAGTTCGAATCATGGGAAGTACTTACAAGTGCGACATTTCCCTAGTTAGACGCGAGTAAGGTTTTATGTTTCACAGGAAAGATTATAGCAATGTTAAGTACTTTAATAAGTTTATTTCATCAGTCCGATGAAACAATACAATTCGAATTTGATTTTTTGTCCGTGAGCTTAAAGTAGTAAGTAGTTCCTACCAGCTATCTTTCTAGAACTCTAAAGCCAACATAATATAGTCATAACTTCATAAGTCAACAGTTTGTGCCAAAATATGATGCGATTCCTAGTAATTCCTATCATATAAAATATTATTTACTCTTTACGTTAAAAATAAGCAAATCTTACCGTCCCTCAGAGCGACGTTGGTGCACATCTAAAAACATATTTGCAGTGCGCATTGTAGGTATCTATACCGTCATCTTGGTTTACCAAAATAAAGATGTCTGCTCTGAAAAATTTATTAACAATCGACATTTCGTACATTCGACTACAATCGTGCTCGTACAACATGTTTTAAAAAGACATCTTTAACCAACTCATATTTTGAGCCTTATCATTCGGGATTGCAGGAGATGAAACGGGGTGGTTTGAATAACTCTATAATGAAAAATCTGGCACCCGCTCTCGTCCCACACAGGGTGGGCAAGATATTTTAATGATTTTCCTCTCTACAAAAACAAAAACCTAGAACTTGCCTTGTCTGGTTCGAGTAAGAATAAACCCAGCCTTCTGTAGGTGCCATAACCACTAGGGCCAATGTCTCCTGGGGTTGTAGGAGCAACGCAATAATGTACCACGGCTTCTGTTTTGAAGGAACGGAGTGGTTTTAAGTCACTAAGAGTATGCACTCTCCTTCGCCTTACCTAGGGCGGGAGAAGTGATTTGATGATTATCTCGCCTCAAAAAGGAAAAGCCATCTGTAGGTCGGTAGCTACTCAAATATTATCCTACATGACACATCTGCACCACAAATTTTGATTTACAAAACATTAAGTACCTACCTACCTAAGTATGCATGGGTATGCTTGAATATGTACATTGAAGACACAATGTACATGATATTGTTATCTTCACAATGGATGCTGTAGGTAAGTATTTATAATAAATCGCCTTTAAGTTAAACAACGTAACATTATAACTGGTCATTATAATTTTCATTGTAGAGCGCAACGCAGGTTCCGACATCATGTGGTCAAATTTAATTTATATTGTACCCATTGCCTGGTTCCTTATGGTTTCGGCTAGAGCAGATGTTCAGCGGGGGAGAACTAATGATGATAAAGAACATAACCTATTTCATTCAAAGAAAAGAACCGATAGAAATCGTTTGACGTCAACAACGGGCAGGGCCTTCGTGAGGGATGAAGTCGTGGAAAAATTTGTCGAAACGTTGATGTCCAGCGAAAGATATTTGAAAATGATAGAGTCTGTGGAACGAAAAGTGAACCACTTGGATACGACTTTCCATGAAAGAACTAACAGTATTCTTAAGTACTTATCTGAAATTGTAACGATGTTAAAATCTCCTTCGTCAGTAACAATTGAAAACGCCTTAACACATTTCAAAACGGATTTGGAGAAGCTGAAGCAGACGCTATCGGAGCGAACGGACGACACTCACATACAAGGTAAGTAATTTATTTTAACGTTCTAAAGGACTAGGAAACTTTTAGAGCAATGATTAAAAAATTGAGCCACGTACCTAATCCTGCAGAAAGTTACATTAAGGGCTTCTCTCTATCCATCAAAAACATAAATGTGAAATGGGAGCCAAGTTCAATGGTCAGTCCTGAAATTTATATACAAGTAACAGTATAACATATCATATTATTATATTCTTATAACATAAGATAATGTATTGTAGCCTAAGGTCTGATTGATACATTAACAACATATAATTACGCGGGTGTAATTATAAGTTGTTAATATATCAAAGTTCAAAAACTATTAGAAGTAATTTTTGAGGGATTGCTGTTTCCAAGTATAAAACTAGGTATGTCAAATTAATATCTATTGTCACAAAGCCTTCCAAATAGGTAGCGCGGTAAATGACTACCTACTAAATTTGAAAAATAAAAATAAAAATAGATTGGTAGGTGATAGGCATTTAGCTAGAAAATAAATTTTGATTGTGTTTAATAAATAAGATTTGTGACTTTTTGTTTAAAAGGAAGGTCATATTATGTATTTCTTAGATGTCGAAATTGCTAAATCATTGGTATTGACAAAAAAACCATCCGTAAAACTGCGTGTTTAAAAAAAGTGCGCAAAAAAAAGATTTGTGCATGTTATCGGGCACGATTGTCAAGATAAAAACACTATCAACTAATATTAATACTTAAGTATTACTAAAAAAAATATTATACGTAACATTATGAATCTCTCACTGTAATTGGTAATAAAACCGTCCTTTTTTGTCAAGGGAAAACCATCATATGACTTTTCCCGCCCAGGGTTAGGCGAGAGAGAGTGTCAGACTCTTACCTACTGACTAAAACCCCCCCCCCGTTCCTTCTCCTGCTCTGGGACGCGGTGAGATCCCAATCTATCGCATCCAAGCATACATTCGATATCGATACATTACAAGATAACTTCGTGGACGTAAAGAGTATTATAATATTTTACAGTTTAATATCGGTATAAAGTTCCTAAGTCCCAGACGTAGTTTTAACATGATGGCTGACCTAGTTTTGTTAGCTAAACATATAATTTGTAAGGAGAACAGTCGCATTAAAGATGCTTATTACCCACTTACTTTAAAAAAATGCCTATGGTTATGGCATATTAATAAGACAAATATTAAACTAAACTAGCTTCTGCCAGCGACTTCGTCCGCGTGGCATAGTGAGTTCTGGCAGATTTTTGGTTTTACCCACGTTTTTCCCGATCTCGTAGGATTTTCGGGAAGTTCTCCTTTTGAATTCACGGATTAATATCTTATGTCCTTTTCCGAGTTTCAAACTATGTCTGTACTAAATTTTATTCAAATCAGTTCAGTTCAGTAGTTTATGTGTGAAGGAGAGACAGACAGATAGACAGAGTTGATCGCAATAAAAGTAACACAGAATTTTGAGGAAAACTTACAGCAACACATTGAAACAACTGAAAAACCGATTAATTATTGATTGAAATATATTAAACAAATATGTCAAATCTGTACATGAAATATAAAATGAGCTGTGCCTGCTATACTTCCTCCGCTTTGTTGTGGGTATGGAAGTGGATATTAATAAGGATAAAAATTATCACACATTTTTTGGGTTCTATTGCGTGTATAAAGGTAGGTACCCTAGTAAAGCTTTTCTTATTTATCTTCCATGTACGGACACATTTACTGTTTATTTTATGTATTGATATTGATTATTATCTTGAAGCATGGTGTCGAAAACGTGCACGCATGTTCATTGATTTCTATCATTATTTTTTTATTGAATAGATAATAGGTAATGTAAACTTTTTTAATTAGGGATAAGTGAGAATGTTATAAACGTAAGAGTCACAAATATAATCAGTATGCTCCGAACTGCTGAGCGATCAGGAGTTACACGTGTTATTGTGAGTCAACCGTAAAAGATAGACATATAATTTTGAAGGATATTTTCTAGATAATGTTATGTTAAACATTTCCGTGATACATGATTTCTATGTAACTTTAACCATTAACGTAGCACACGCAACGGAAGCTGAAAAAATTGAGTAATTTCTCCAGTTTTCCCAACATTTCCCTGCACTGCTCTGCTCCTATTAATTGTAGCGTAATGAAATGTATCCTATATTCCCAGGAATATAAAGAATAAGTGTACCAAGTTTTCTTAAAATCTGTCGAGTAGTTTTTGTGTCTATAAGGAACATACAGATAGACAGACACACAGACAAAAATTTTACAAATTACATTTTATACATCAGTATCTATTACTTATCACCCCCTGATAGTTATTTTCAAAATATATTTAATGTACAAAATTGACCTCTCTACAGATTTATTATAAGTATAGATTACACCACACACTTAGTATAGATTGACCATAGAATTACCTATTGTCAAAAATCTACAACATTTTGCATTAATTAAGATTTTCAACCGATAATTAGGTATATTACCAGACTTTGTTTTTACTCAATGCGTAGGTAAATTTACAAGCAATGCAAAATTTACTACTGTAATTAATAGGCATGGCAAGCAGGTTTAACAAGGCTCGCCATATGCTTGGCGAATAGTAGATCTATAGATTTTTCAGCAAGCATGTTTTAGTAGATATATACATATCTACCTACTTACCTACAAATTTATAAAATTATTGATTGCATAGATCATGGCTGTTG